CACTGCGCGCAACGGCATTACAGTACAGTATATACAGCAGTGTACAGTGTACTGTATAGTACAGTACAGTACAGTATACAGTTCACCGAAGACAGCTGTGCGTCCCTGTGCCCGACCGTAGCAGCTTAATCAAGCCTCAGGCACGAGTTATTGTACGCCCTTCGCCCAGGTTCGGACCGCGTCTTCCTTCGCTTCGGTGGGTGCCTGGGGCCTACAGTACAGTACATAGGGTTTTCAGGCTTTGTCCAGTTTGTTCCGTGGGTTTGTTGGGCTTTGGGGCTTTTAAAAGGTTCTTGTTCTGTGAACTTCGAAGGGGTCGGGGTTTCGTTGTTGCGAGTGCGTGCACAGGAGGGCACGTCCCTGCTTCAATGCCACCTGATTCAGGAATGCACTGCCCTATTCTGCTCGATAGCACCCAGCATTTTCCTACCAGTGCAGCACCTGGCTCAATTCCCTGACTTGTCGGCTCTCCCTCAGTTTTGGAGCCGCCATTCTGCTCGCCCCTGGACTCCGCTTATACCTGCTCTTCTTACAACATGCCGAAGCGCAAACAGGCGGACAAGCTTCCCAACACCGCGAAAGCACGTGCACGCAGACATCACTCCCCGCCGTGCTCATCTAGCATCGAGACCTCCGATGAGGAGAGAACAGCTGCAGCTGCTACATCGACGGCGTCAGGTTCAAGGTTGCCGGGACATGGGAAGCCGGCTGGCCCTCCCCCACCCAAGCCGGTCAACTTGCCCCCGGCTGGGCCTCCGCCGCCAACACCGGCGACCACGATCCCAAAGACGACTGGACCCAAAGCAGGCATTGCGGCCACAGGCCCTCCTTCGAGTGCAGCAGTGCCGAGTGCGCCGAGCACCACACCGAGCATCTCTCCCAATCCCGCTGCTGCGGCCATGTTCATGCCGACTTCAATGCCGACTTCCATGCCGACTTCAATGCCTACACCATGTGCTACCAGTGCCGGCCAGCAGGCCAAGGCTAGGCCACCGGCACAGCAGAACGGGCAGGTCACGGTTCCGGTCCCGCCGGTTAACATCCAGTACTCGATCACGATCACAGCCAGGGCCGTCCGAGCACATGCTGAGCCAGCCGCGACTGATCCCGGCACAAGCACCGGCTAGATTCTAGATCAAGAATCAAGGTGCCCCCTCCAGGCTTCCGCTTCGGAGAGTGCGAGACAGCCTACAGGTATGACTCTACTTAGCAGGTCCAGTCATCCTGGCCAAGTCATACATACAGTATGCTGTGAGACTGCAGCTTTTCGGTGCCTGGAGAGGGCATTGCCTCTTTTGCAGCCGTGCTGCCGATGGCTGTCGTGCGGGGTGCCTGAAAAGCGAGCCGGGGTGAGTTGCGCGGTTTGGTTTGTCCCCTCCCCCTCCCTTGAGGTTTGCCTCCTCGCCTCTTAGGTTTCAGGGATTCCTTCCTTACCCCTTGGTCCCCGTAGGAGTGCCTATCGAGTGCCGTGCGTGCCCCTCTCCCCGACCCTACAGTACGTAGTTCTGTCCCGTCCCCTTTGTGTTTTGTCTTCTTGCTTCGCCCAGGTCCGGACCGCGTCTTCCTTCGCTTCGGTGGGTTCCTGGGGCCCAGTACAGTACATAGGGTTTTCAGGCTTTGTTCAGTTTGTTCCGTGGGTTTGTTGGGCTTTGGGGCTTTTAAAAGGTTCTTGTTTTGTGAACTTCGAAGGGGTCGGGGTTTCCTTGTTGCGAGTGCGTGCACAGGAGGGCCTTGCGCTGCTGCCACCCCGCCCCTCTCGTATGCTAGCAGCTACAGTACTGTACTGTACTGTACTGTAGACTGCCCTGCAACCCCAGCCCGTTCCCGGGAACCCCGGGCCTCTCGCCACGGTCAGGTCTCTTCGCTCGGCCTCCAGCTTGCTTGGACCCCGGAGTGCAACCTCTCCGAGTTTACAGTACAGTACAGTACAGTACAGTCAGTAGGGTTGAGGGATTTGTATTGCTGCTCTATGCCGAAATGGCACAACCGACTGCAGTTAGCATATGTTCTCGGGGCATTGGGGGATGCAAGTGCTTGGCGAGGCCTTTGCGGGCAGCGGAGCATCTCGTCGGGAGCTCGAAGTGCTGTACAGTTACAGTACTGTACGTACAGTACAATGATGCACTGCACTTCCATCCATTACGATCAGCACTGCGCGCAACGGCATTACAGTACAGTATACACAGCAGTGTACTGTATAGTACAGCACAGTATACAGTTCACCGAAGACAGCTGTGCGTCCCTGTGCCCGACCGTAGCAGCATAATCAAGCCTCAGGCACGAGTTATTGTACGCCCTTCGCCCAGGTCCGGACCGCGTCTTCCTTCGCTTCGGTGGGTGCCTGGGGCCTACAGTACAGTACAGTACATGGGGTTTTCAGGCTTGGTTCAGTTTGTTCCGTGGGTTTGTTGGGCTTTGGGGCTTTTGGGTTCTTCGTTGTTGCGAGTGCGTGCACAGGAGGGCCTCGGGTTGGTGCTCTTCGCTCCCCTTCTTCATGCTAGGTCGCTGGTGCTCCTGACCTCCCGGGTGCTGGCCAGGCCGTGTCCCTGCTTTGAACTTTTTTTGCCTTCCTCAACGGTTTGCTGCGACAGCTCTCGGAAGATCATCGCGACTCTGCTGGAGCCGGGCAAGCGACATCGCCACTTCCTGGAGAAGGTGCTTGCATGTGCTCATGTGTTGCCAGGGCCCATCTCATCACAGAACAACACAACACGACACCACACAGCATCACACAGCATCACACAGCACAGCGCAGCAGAAAAGCCCACAGCCACACAACATCAGCAAGCGAGTTTCACCTTGACTTTCACGGATGTACCGGAGGGGTGGCTTTCGCATGTGCAAACATTGTCTGTCGGCTGCGTGCATCTTTGTCTGGGTATGCCTGCACACGTATTCCACTGACACGTCTGCGTGTGCTGACTCGTGGGCAGGTGCATCAGTCGTGCCCATCCCGATGCAGGCCTCTGTTTCTGTGCACTTCGTGTGCTGCGGGTCTCGGGTGCCTGGTCCTTGGCATGCCTCCTTTACTTCTGTTTTCCTAGTCCGAAATGCTGCTTGGTGCTTGCCCTTGGTCAGGTTCCTGCTCCGAATGACGGCATCATCGAGGCTGCCTGGACCTTGGGCGTCAGCTGCCTCCTCTGCTGGGCCCCGTCGTTGCTGTGTACTTGACTAACGGGGAGCAGGTGGTGGGCACATCCTTGGGTGCATCGTTGGCCTGGACCTCGGGCTTGAGGTTTGCTGGCCTCTTCGTTGTGGTAGTCTTCGCAGTGCTTTAGGTCCCGGAGCCCGAGAATGCAGCGGCACCTGTTGTGGCAACATGATGTCTCTGTGTCTTGCGAGGCTTCCTTGGATGACCTGGCACCGACAACACACGAGTCATTGGCCTGGGCCTTGGGTCTCCTCGGCAGGCTCTTGCTTCGGGCATATTCATGCTGTGTTGCTGCACCGTAGTTTGGCATGTCTCTCTGCCGTAGCACTTACGGCTCCTCGACGACGGTGGTCGCACTCACGATTTGACGATCGGCAATGTCTGAGCCGGCCGGGAACGAGCAGCATGTCACTCCTGCTACTCACATCCGTCGCAGTCACTCTGGGAGCCCCGATGTGCCAGTCCCGGATCTTAAAAGGCGCCGCCGAACTGGATGCCAGGACGTCGAGGACAACACAGTGGAGAGCGAGCGCCCAAGAGGATCCTTGGCATCACTAGCAGATCTCTGGAGTGCCATGTTTGGGTGGCCCGCACATGCGGCTGGATCTTCTGCTGATCGTGCCGATGCCGTGCAGCAGCAGTCCTCTGCTGATCGTGCCGATGCTGTCGATCGTGCCGATGCTGTGCAGCTGCAGTCCTCCGTGGGCCCAAAGACGCCATCTCCACGTGCTCGACGTGCTGCTCCCCGATCCCCTGTAGGTTCGGTCAGGCAGGGTGAGCCGGTGCCACAAGGTGGTCGTCTGCAGGATGCAGACACGAAGCTCCACGGAAGCACATGATCTTGGCCACGGCAACATGGATCATCGGATCGCGATTGGGGTTCGCTCGCGGGAAAAGGGATACCGGAGCACTGCTGGTCTCCACGTACGGTGCTGGCTTGCATGCTCGGACCCATTGCTGATTGATGTGGCTGTGAGGCCGTTGACAGATCCATGCCGGCATCGACATCTCCGGAGGCGGTATGTCCTGAGTCGGCCGTGTGCTGCAAACGACATACGGAGACATCGGCCATGTAGCAGGTCACTACAGTACTCTTGCTACCAGTAGTGGAGCCGCTCCGGCAGCAGGGCCACTGCACAGTACTGTACAGTACTGTAGACTGCCCTGCAACCCCAGCCCGTTCCCGGGAACCCCGGGCCTCTCGCCACGGTCAGGTCTCTTCGCTCGGCCTCCAGCTTGCTTGGACCCTGGAGTGCAACCTCTCCGAGTTTACTGTAGGGTTGAGGGGCTGAGGGGTTTGCATTGCTGCTCTATGCCGAAATGGCACAAACGACTGCAGTTAGCATATGTTCTCGGGGCATTGGGGGAGGCAAGTGCTTGGTGAGGCCTTTGCGGGCAGCGGAGCTACGGTCAGGTCTCTTCGCTCGGCCTCCAGCTTGCTTGGACCCTGGAGTGCAACCTCTCCGAGTCTAGGGTTGAGGGGCTGAGGGGTTTGTATTGCTGCTCTATGCCAAAATGGCACAACCGACTGCAGTTAGCATATATTCTCGGGGCACTGTGGGATGCAAGTGCTTGGCGAGGCCTTTGCGGGCAGCGGAGCATCTCGTCGGGAGCTCGAAGTGCTGTACAGTTACAGTACTGTGCGTACAGTACAGTGATGCACTGCACTTCCACCCATTGCGATCAGCACTGCACGCAACTGCAGTACAGTATATACAGCAGTGTACTGTATAGTACAGCACAGTATACAGTTCACCGAAGACAGCTGTGCGTCCCTGTGCCCGACCGTAGCAGCTTAATCAAGCCTCAAGTTATTGTACGCCCTCGCCAAAAAAACACCAAGCCCGCCATGACCTCCGTGATGGACATGCTGATGAAGAATGTGAGTGCGCAGGAGATGGCGCGAGCCAGGCGGGCCAGCCAGCAGGTGGCGCAAGCTCCGGGGGAGCCTGCCACCAGCGCTGGGCCGCCGGCCGAAGACGACGCTGTCTCTGAGGCCCCACTTGCTCCAGAGAAGGGCGATGCGAAACTGCCCGCCCTGCCACCGGGTGTCCACCGATTCATGAAACAGACCCGGGCAAACCTGGACAAGAGCACCTACCGGAGATTTCAAGCGGTGCATTGGGGTGAGGCAAGGGATGCGGTGGCGATCGCCTGGAAGGAAGAGGCAGAGAGAATTCTCTGCGATTTCGAGTTGAAATCATCCAAAGACGCACTTGCCTTCCTGCAGAGCATGGACTTGTCCGTTGCCTCTTCAGCTACGATTGAAGCAAAACGCTGTCTCTTGGTGGAGTCGCTGCAGAACGGCCGCATTCAGCAGGTGGAAGACCGGCTGTGCCTGGTTGCCCTCAAGACACTCGCCCACCTAGATGAAGTTCCTTCTGGCTTCAATTTGCGAAGCCGTCCTGACGGCTTCCACGCCGAATGGAGTGGGAAGAAGGGAATGCTGCTCAAGGCCCGTCTTCTGCAGAACTGGACATCGCCGTGCTCAACTACTGTAAAGTACTGTGGAGCACAACGCTGTACTGTACTGTATACAGTAGTCATGTACCGTAGCGCAAGCTGTGTGCTGCTCTGCATTGCTACTTGCGGTACTGTACTGTACAGTACCGCACTGTGCTGTACTGTACTGTACAACATGATACTGCACAGTACTGTAGATTGAGTTTCATTTCATCTGAATGCCGCAGGTGCACAAATCCGCTGCTGCAGCCTGTGCTTTCTTGCAGAGTATGCAAGCTGCTGAGCAGAGCGGGGCGGTGGAGAAGTCGCTCAAGGAGCTGGAAAATCAAGGCTCAGCAGCAGGGGAGTCGCAGAAAGCTATCCGGGCACTGCTGAAGCATTCGAGCTCGCAAGAACTGGGCCAAGCCGTGCTGGAACTAGCCGATGCTGAGACTGAGACGCCTGCCGTGCTTGCAACTGCCGAAGACATTACGGCGGAGTTCCTAGCACCCATGTCGCAGATGGGGCCGGAGCTGTGTGTCGCCGAGGTTGGCGTGTACAAGGGAATGCTGAGGTATCTGCATTCTGCGACCGACCCTCGCGGCCTCCTGGCTGCCACTTCCGATCTTGTCTGCCGGGACTTGATCTTGAGTTCTGGGACGCCCCTGCGGGACGTGCTGAAGACACCCGAGCTGCAGGAACGCTGGAAGGCTCTCGACGTGAAACCAGTGGGCATGGTGGTGCAAGGAGGGGCGTCGCCGCAGCAGCATCACGAAGATCTGGAGATCCTGCGCCAGGCAAATCCGTCCGCCGAGCAGCTGCTGTTTATGTCCTTCCCCGGGCCTATTTCATGGCAGGTGCAATTCAACAACGGTCTCCAGTGCTGTAGAGCGGAGCCGAACTCCCACGTGGGTCGGAGAGCGGGTAGGACCAGCTTCACAGCAGCCAGACTGGAACAGCTGGGCGTCACGTTCGAGGACGAAGCACGGGCACTGGCACTGAGGGCCATCCAAGCCACCACGGAAGCAGGGATGCAGCGGGTTGAGAGACGCACCCAAGCCCAGATCATACCCGTGCCTCCTGATGGACTTTGCTGCTACCATGCCCTGATTGCCGGCCTCGACTGTGCCAGATACCTGCGCGGCACGGCATACATTACAGTACATACTGTACAGTAATGTACAGTACTACTGTACTGTACTACAGTACTGTACTGTACGGCGTGGTAATTACAATACAGTACTGTACTGTACTGCGCAGTACTGTGTCAAATTCCGAAACCGGACAAATAACCGCAGTTAGCATATCAATTGGAGCGTCCGCCCTTTCTGTGCCACATGTCTGTGCAGTACAGTACTGTACAGTACGGTACGCATTGCACTGTCCTGCAGTGCTAGCACATTGTTTCCCGAGGCATAGACCGAACGTCGTTGGGCTTCGCCAGGAACAGTCGGCAACAGCGGCTGGAAGCAGGGGCGGCTTACGCACTCCGGAACCTGGCGCTGGAGGCAACAGCCGACCTGGAATTTCCGGAGTGGCTGGCGCGGCTCGCCCACAACGCCGCCCAGCAGATGCCTGTGGACGTGCAAGAGCTGCACTGGCTTGCACGTTCGCTGGAGCTGCGGATACGGTGCACCGTGGACGCAGAGGCGCTCATAGGGAAACTGCGCAGTTAGCACCTGCTGAGCAGGCATGGGGGCATGAGGGGCACAGTACAGTACTGTACGTACAGCACATTCGAGAATTGAAGTCGTTACGCATGTTTGTGGATCTGACCAGACACAGGGGGGAAGCATTTGCATAAGTCACAATGCCCAAAGACTTTCCTTCAGCGCAGTTCTGCGCAGTGGTGTACTGTACAGTATCCGCTGTTATCTGGAGGTGCTGCAGTGGGTTGTCGGCATCAACGAGGATGCCATCTATGGGGATTGTACCGACGACACCTATGATGTCCATGTGTACTTCCGCTGTCTCACAGGCGAGGACGGCAGACGATGCAGCCACTTTGATCTTCTTCTCCCGTATTCCGAAGGCGATGAGCAGATCGGAATGGTGATCCCCGTGCCGCCTACAGTGAAGCCCGCCCCTGTTTGTGAAATGTACAATGATCGGTTTCCTGGCCAGCAGATGGAACCGATGAACGACAAGCCTGAGGAGCAGAATCAGGAGAACGTTTTGCAGGGGGATGAAGTTGAGACGATGGCCCCGCAGATCACGGAGGAGCAGAAGGACAAACAGGCCGAGTCCCAGGAGCAGAGAGGGGAGCAGATAAAGGAGGGAACGGCCAACAGCGAGTCCCCGGAACAGGGCGAGGAGCCGCCGATGCCTGCGGAGACCCCGAAGCTACTGACGGAGAATCGCCAGGATGAGAATGCAGAGAAAAAGGAGGAGGACACTGAGACCAAAGGTGAGGCCAAGAACGAGCTCCCGCAGCAGAGGCAGAATCAGCAGGTGGACATCCCAGACAAGAATAAGGATGAGGCAGGTGAGACCAGTCATCAGGGGCTTGAACAGCAGCAAGAGCAGGCTGACAAGCAGTTGCATGATGAGCAGAGGGAAGTTGAGGAACTGGAGGAAGAGGACAAGGGCGAGGGAGGGGAGGAGCATCAGGAAAGCGACAACGGGCAGCAGGAAGAGGAGCAGCGGCAGGAAAACAACCAGGGGCTGCAAGAAAAGAGTCAGGGAGGGAAGGAGCAGGAGCAGGAACTCAGTGAGGAAGCGGAGGCAGATGAAAAAGGCGAGGGCGGGGAGAAGGAGCAGGAAGTTGATGCTGAACAGGAGGAAGATGATGAGGGCGAAGGAGAGGAGGAGGAGGAGGATGAGGAGGAGCAGGAGAAGGAGGAGGAGGAGGATGAGAAGGAGGAGGAGGAGGAGGAGGAGGAGCAGGAAGATGACGAAGGTGAACAAGCAGAGGAGGAGGAGGTGCACGAAGTCGATCCGGAAGTGGAGCCAGATGAGGAGGGCAATGGGGAGTTCTGTGCTTGCAGTACAGTACAGTACAGTTCAGTACAGTACATACAGTACTGTGTAAAGCAGTCGGCCCTGCTGAACACAGGTCATATATATGCCATAGTACAGTGCAGCACATTACTGTAATATACTTTACAGTACAATACAGTACAGTACTGTACCGTAACTCCTGGGTTGGAAGTGCACTTCTGGTCTGTCCCAAGGAGTCGAGACCTGCCAACATGGAGACCATGCTTTCCATTGGCAAAATGGAGATCCTTCAGAGCATCTTCCAGGGAGAGAAAACGTTGGAGATCCGCAACCGGCAACTACGGCCTGGCCGCACCTGGGTGTGTCTCAAGGACCGAGTCTACGGCACCGTGGATGTGGGCAAGCCCTTCCGCATCTCTGACCCGAAGTTATGGAAAGCCAGGAAAGCTGACCACTGCGTGCAGAGCAACGTGCCAATGTACGGAGAGAAGACGTGGGCCAACCCCGTGTCCAACCCTCGTAAGCTCCCAGAGCCTCTTGCCTTTTATCGCAAACACGGGGCCATCGGCTCTGTCAAGTACAGGCCAGCGGAGGGAGCCAAGAACAAGAAGGAAGAAAAGAAGGGTGAGGAGACGAACGAGGAAGGTGACCAGTCTCAAAGCACCACTTCGGCGTCCGCTCCCAAGAAGTATGCCGTGGCCACTCTGTCCCGCACCCTCATGGACAGAGTGCGGGAGGCAGCCAATCAGAAGCGGAAGAGCTTCGAGCTCCTCACCACCAGCAGATACACTGCTGGTGGTGAGATGCTTCTGGTGCAGACCAAGACGGATAACAAGGTGGCTATCCAGGCCTCGCTTGTGCAGCACAGGCGGCTGACGACCACCTGGGAGCTCACCAAGGCTGCTGCCTACAAGCAGGCCACGGCACCCGAACAGACGGCGTGGAAAGCCAGGTTGCACCAACACCTGGCCGTCTACAGCTGTCGGCTCAGCAACCTCCGAGCCCCGTCGACAAATATACGACTTCGGGGCGGCCACGGCTGCAGGAGGACGGTGGCCGTGGAATCCGATGTCGTGGAGGAGGAAGCCACTCCGAAGGCAGAGATCCCCGCTCTCAGCCTCCGGGACACAGCTCGCTACTTTTTGCAGCGTCTGTCGGAGGCAGATCGAGGGAAGCTGAGCGCTAACGTCAAAGGGCTGAATGGCTGCGAAATCAAGCTGGGCAGCACTTGCTCAGGGACAGATGTGTGCACGAACGTGTTCAAGCACACGCTGCAGTTCCTGGCCGAGCAACACCAGGCCACCTTAGCGCACAGTACAGTAGTGTACTATGCAGTACTGTACCGTACAGTACTGTACAGTGCAGTGCAGTACAGTAGTCCACGCATTCTGCAGTACCGTACAGTGCCGTACTATGTGCGGCTGGCGGGCAACGTGGATGGCAACCCTTCCTGTATAATTTCTGTTGTCAAGACCCTGCAGAGAACTGCAGTTAGCATATATTCCGGGCCAGCCGCCTTCGTTCCGTGACTCCGTGTATACCTGGGTGGGGTGGGTTCCTCCTACAAGCTGCCATGAACACTGTACTGTACAGTACTGTGACTGTACCGTGTCCCTACTGCACAGCTGCGTCGGGAAGTGCGGTTACCCGGGCGGTTCCCTTGTTTGAGACCGTGCTGCATTGTACAATACAGTGTAGTACAGTACGGTACTGTACCTGTATACCGTACAGTACAGCATGGTACTGTATACTTTCCTGCGCTGTATCGTGTGATCGTTTGACGCTCAGGTCTCCATCAGCGTCAAACATGTGCTGGCAGTGGAGCTGGATAAAGGCAAGCGCGATTTTCTGATGCGCGCACACAAGCCCACCTTCTGCCTTTTCGAAACGGTGGACATGTTCGCCAAGGGCAAGACTGCATTCTGCCACACGTGCCGGCGAGTACACGAGGCGCCTGACGTCGACGTTCTTGTGGTCGGCTCCAGCTGCAAGTCCATTTCAAGGATGAACAACTCGCGGACAGACTACCAGGATTGTTGCTCGGCATAACGTTAGTGCTTTGCTGGACGGCCACACTGTACTGTACAGTACAGGTCGAAACGCAGTACAGTACAGTACTGTAGTGTTCCGCATACTTGTACCGCAACCTACATCACTACACTGTACTGTACAGTACTGTATGTACAGTGCAGCGCTGCACTGTGATGTATCGCATGGCAATCTGTTTTTGTCTGTGCACATGCAGGCTACCAGAAAGGCAAGGGCTGTTCTGGGAGCACGTACCAGAATGGTGTCCTGCAAGCGAGCAAAGAGTTGGCTCCAGCCCTTCTCTTCTTTGAGCAAGTCGTAGGCATTTTGGATTCGCCGGTGCAGAAGAACGGCAAGAGAAAGACTCCTTTGGTCCAGGCCGGTCGGGGAACATGACTTTAGCGCAGGGTTTCCTTGTTGTACATGTGGCAGAAATGGACAGGCGGACTGCAGTTAGCATATGCTGTTGGCCATGGGGTCGCCGAGTACTGTATTGCACAGTACTGTACTGTACTGTAATGTATTGGACTGTACTGTAGGAACAACACATAACAGCACAGATATTCCCAGTACAGTACGGTATAGTGCTGTACAGCGCAGTACAGTGCAGTGCATGCAGGTCATGGAGAGCGACATGGCATCGCTAGGCTACACCTTCCAATTCAAGAAGCTGGACGCGCAAGGCTATTTGTTGCCGCAGCGCAGGAACCGGGTCTACGCACTAGGAGACGTCCAGTCAGGCCGCGAACCCTTCAACCTCCAGTCGGCCATGGGACAGACCCTCGCAGACTTGGCATCGGACGTCCCTTTAGCAGAGCAAGTCTTCGATGCGAGCCTGCCCAAGGAAAGTCCAAGGTCAGCACTTGGAGCTCAAGTAGTGGAAAAGGCGAAAGAGGAGGCTGCGCTGCGTGCCGATATTGACATTTTCATCGACACGCAGACATCACTCAAGCGAAAGCCCGAGATGAGCTATGCAACCTCCACATGTGTGCGGCCGTCGCACGAAATCTACTCGGCAAGGATGGAGAGATACCTCACCCTCCGTGAGCAGTGGCTCTGCCAGGGTTTGTTCCCTAACGACTTTGAGTTTGCCGAGGAGGTGGAGAAATTTATCAGAGAGAAACCTAGCCTTGCGAAAGACCTAGTCGGCAACGCAATGGCTGGCACCGTGCTGCAGGCTCAGGCGGGGACACCTGTACTGTACTGTACTTACAGTACAGTACTGTACAGTACTGTACTGCACTGTAGGCGGACAGTGCCGTGGAATGTATCTTCGTGTACTATATACAGTACCGTATAGTACAGTACAGTAATGTACACAGTGCGGAACCGCAGTTGGCATGCATACAGCATACGGTGTACAGTACTGTACAGTACTGAGTACAGTGTTGCACAGCAGCGGTCTTTCATTCAAAGCATACTGTACTGTGCAGGTGATGGCTGCCCTGGTGCACGCGCAAGGCTGGAAGAACTTAAGTGCTGAGCACAGGACAAAGTCCATTGGAACTGAGTTCGACTGGAAGCAGTATCGGGTGAAACCCGCCGTGGAGTACTACAAGCCACCGACAGGCTTATGGGCCCCGCCAGTCACGCATGATCAGACAACCGAGCAGCTGAAGAACATGTGGGGCAAGTACAAGACTCACAAGAGTGATTGGAACGCCTTGCCGAGCAAAGAGCAGGATGAACTCTGGGTGCAATTCCGAGAGCAGCCACGGCAAGAGCAGAGTGCGAGCGCCGTACCGAGCGCTGTGGAAGATGCGCTTGTGCAGCAGCCAGCTGCAAAGCCGCAGCCTAAAAGACGTGCAAGTGAGATATGGAACACTGTCGAACAAGCACTTGCGCAGGAGCCATCTGCAAAGCGGCAGACGACAGAGGCCTCGTCCTCCTCCAGGCAGGCGGACTCCGCAGCCATCGTGGACAAAGAACCTGCAGCAAAGCGGCAGCGGCTGTCCAAGACAGATGCTGCGCCCGTTGGCGGTGCCAACTGGTTTTCAGGAACCAGGTTGAAGCACAAGACATCACGCGATTCGGCCAGCTCCGCATGCGACCGGCCCGCCACAGGTCGCGACAAGCCCGCCAAGGACACAGAGAAAAGGGTGGTCATGTACGCCCCTTCCGTGCAAGAGCTTCGGAAGATGAAGAAAGAGCGCAGGCTGTACACCCGCAGGAGCGCGAACATAGAGCGCAAGGGCAAGAATGCATGCTTGGATATCTTCCGCAAGGTCGCGCTGCTAGACGAAACTCAGCCTTGCAGTACAGTATTCTGTACAGTACAGTACTTTACAGTATAGTCCCACCCTCACGGTACAGTGCAGTACTGTATGTGCAGTATTGTGTGGAGTGCAATCAACGTGATGCCGTGCAGCTCAGGAATGGGAGGAGGCCAAGAAAGACCCAAAGATCAAGTCGCCAGAGCAGTACATGCTTAAAAAGCGCAGGACCGCTGCTTTCCAAGGATGCTTCGGCCGATGGTCCAAATCTGCCCTCCACTTCCAGTGGAGGGCATTCGTGAAATGCGCACCCGAAATGTCCAAGCTTTGCAGCGAGGTGCCGAACTCGGTGCGAGGGATGCTTGGATTGGTCAAGAAGCACACGAACAGCAAGTTCAGCACATCGAAGGGCCTTCACCAAATTCCTTTTGCATTGGGTGTTGCGCTGGAAAAGCTATTGATGGACCACGTTATCGCAGGTGAGGAAGTTACTCTGGCATATGCCAGCAGCGTTTGCAGCTCGCTGGTAGAGCTGTGGAATGAGCAGGTGGAGGGCTTTGCCAAGAGTGTCGGGGAGCTGAAGCTCGCGCAGGCAGACTCCCAGCTGGCATCCGGCGCGAGTGCCAAGGACGTGAAAGCAGTTGCTCAGGCCCGAGCTGCAGCGCAGCGTTTTTTTTGTTGTACGTTTGTGTGGCAGAAATGGGCAGGCGGACTGCAGTTAGCATATGCTGTTGGCCATGGGGTCACCGAGCACTGTATTGTACAGTACTGTAATGTGTTGGACTGTACTGTAGGAGTGGATGGTGCTGCAGGGGAACCACAACAGCACATAACAGCACAGCTATTCCCCAGTACATTGCTGCTTTGTCCGTTCTTGAGACTGCGTGCTGTACATTACACAACGTACTGAAAGCTGTCCTGTCAGGCGTCAGAGCTGGACTTCGAACAGGCTCTGCAGCAGCTCCGCCCAATCGTGCTAACGCAGAAGCACGAGACCTTCAGGCAATCACCATACAGTACTGTAAGTACTGTACTGTGCTGCACTGTAATGTTCTGTGTTGGGCAACGCGCGTGTGTTCTTTGTCTTTCCCTGGATCAGGAGGCACGTGCGGAAGGTTTGCACGAGCTTGGGCCTCAAGGCACACGCTGTGGGCAAGAACACCACAGGCCGCCACCTTCCATATGACCACCCATCTATGGAGAGGGTTCGCCAGGGCGTGGAGTTCTTGCGGACTCGCCACAACATCCGACCGGAGCTGAATCTGGGCTGCTTCAAGAGCTGCAACTTGTACAGTACTGTGCTGCATACACAGTACAGTACAGTACTGTACAGTACAGTGCAATAAAGAATTTACTGTGGTGCGGCATCATCCTGTTGGCAACAGCGTGCCTGCCGGCGTATGCTACTGTACAGTAAGTGCACTCTACAGTGCAGTACCGCACAGGGTCTTGAACAGTAGGACAGTATAGTACAGCACAATACCCTCTCCTCGCCCTTTGCTCTCCTCTCCTCTCCTCTCCCTCTCGTCTGTGATGTAAGAACTGCACTGTACTGTACTGTAGGCAATACTGTATGTACAGTAAGTAATACTGTACAGTACTGTAATTCTCCTGTACTGTACAGTAGCCGCCGCTGTGACCTGAGGACGTGCAACTTCGACCAGGTGTGGTGCACCCACTACGAAGGTCCGAAGAGGGTGCTGTTCAAAGATGCTGCGCTGCAGGGCATGATCCCTGGCAAGCCCAGCACCCCCACGCAGGCCAAAATGCTGCAGAGCCTGCGTGCCACACTGGGCCTGCCATCTGAAGCAGCCACAAACCCTCCACCCGGGGACAGAGCAGCCTTGAATGCTGGCTCCACGCTCATCCCCGTGGATAATAACCGCTGCGCTCGCACCACCACCACCCTCACATGGGCTGATGGCACAATGGGACGTGCATATGTCACAGCATCGCCCAAGATGCTCACTGCGCGCGTGATTTCCGAAATGAATGCAGAACTCGGTGGTATGATGCACATTTCCAGCAATCACGACTCCCACTCTCACATGTGGGCAGCTGAGACAATGTCGCACTACCTCGAGTTTCTGAAAACGGAAATCCGCCGCAAGAGGCAGTCCCTCCAGCTGGATGCCACACACAAGGCCCTGGTGCTCTGCGACGCAGCGTCCGTGCACTCCACCGCACGGTTCGCCAAGATTCGCAAGACCTTCGAGAAGGAGGCGGCTGTTGCAGCGCAGTACTGTACAGTAGTGTGCTGCACAGTAAGTACGGTACTGTACTGTAAAGTACGGATCCAGTGTGTGGTACAATCCGCATGGGAATCTACCACAAATACCAATCCGCACCCACTACAGTACAGTAAACGCAACCCCGACGGTGTCTATGAATAGCAAGCCACACCATGTGAAAAGCATGTGAATCTGCCACAAATACCAGTCCACACCCACTACAGCACAGTACAGTAAACGCCACCCTGATCAGTACGGTGTCTACGCATGCAGTACATACTGTACTGTACTGTAGTACTGTACTGTATAGTCCGGTATACAGTACTTCTTGATGGATTTGATTGCAGTTAGAATATACTGTACAGTGCTGCATTGCGCCGGCAGGCAAATGCAATCTTGATCCACGGCAAGGACGAAGATGGCGACGGGCTGCACATTCCTGGGGGCTGGGGCGCAGCTGGAGCCCCCAACGACGCGTGGCATCAGTTTTTCCACTCCATTCGGCGGAGTTGGATGAGGGTCGCATCGGGTTCAGCAGACATCGCAGCCTTGCGGCGAGTGCTGCACACAACCGAGCTTTCCGTGGACGGCAACCCCAGGTTTGAGCCCTCTGCACGCAATACTGTACAGTACAGTATTCTGCAGTACTGTATTGTTGTTCTGTACTGTACACTGTACTGTACAGTGCAGTGTCGCTTGCTCTACCACAAGGTGCTGTAGTTACTGTACAGTATTGTACAGTAGCCAATACGTACTGTAAAGATACAGCGCAGTGAGTACAGTACAGTGCTTTTGAGATCCTTTGAGTGTACTGTGCCCAGGCTGACGATCCAGAACAGCTTACGAGCTGACGCGTTCGCCCTCCAGCAGATCCAAAATTACCGCAGTGGCAAAATCCTGGCGTGGGCATGGGTCAGTCGGGGGCTGGTCACCAAGCAGCAGTTTGCTGATG